ATTGTTTCCTTCGGAAACAATTATTGTTAAATCTAAATAACTGCCAGTTTCTTCTTCTTCTTCATAACCATAAAAATCAACACAAGTGATAACTGAGGTGTAAACGAGGTTGCAATTAAAACAAAAAATACATTTAAAAATAAAAGTAAAACGGAAATGTAAAAATAAAGTTTAAAGAATTACATTGAGGTAAACCTTTTACAAGAAAAAAACATTCGTCGATTTTCCAGAGCCTACAACACCTCCATAGTAAATACCAGGAAGAACTAAAAACCAACAAGCAATTTAACATCATAGAATGTTTGAAACAGATTAAACAGAAAAAAACATTCGTCGATTTTCCAGAGCCTACAACACCTCCATAGTAAATACCACCCCTTCGTGACCGTGAAAATAAGGGATTGTTCTCGGAGGATTGTAATGTTTCCATTTTCCTTTCTGGACCATTTCCTCAACATCAGCTTCAAATCTTCCGTCCCGATATTTTTCTGACATGTCAGCATATAGGTGTGGAGCCCTCATTGCCCAGATTATGATGCCACCTGATGGATATTATTATAACTGTGTTATTTTCCATCACATATTATTGCAGTGCTGTTAGTGACTAAAAACATGAGAGGAGCTTTAAACATATTGTTTGAAAATATGAAGATCTTTGTTGTGTCATCAAAGCCAACGAATTTGATTTGCTATTATGTTATTGTTAACAGATCCTACGCATTTTGGCGAATTTTAAAACTCTTGGTAACAAATCAACACTTGCTATAACATTACGCCTTGTTTTTGTTTTTCTATGTGGACGGTGTTTATTGCTAGAAAATTTATAAAACGGCACGAAAGAAAACCGAAGAAGCTAATACCAACATCTTACTGCAAACAATAAAGAAAGTGGTCTTAAGTTCTTGCAAGACCTGATTTTATGAATATCATAACTAGGTAACGCAAGCGTTCACCTGAACTGAGTTTACTTCTAGATTTAAAATAGGCAATAGCAATATCTTGTAAAGGAAATATAGTGTATAACATTTGATGTTGCAAGATTTTAAATGTTGTTTTTTCTGTCCAACAATTACACATTAGGGGCAGCGTGGTTCAGTAGTATCATTCTTTAGACTCGTAGTCGGACGGTTGCGAGTTTGAGGCTTGCTTGCGACAACCGTTGTGTCCTTGAGCAAGACACTTTACCCAAATATTCCAATCTATCGAGCTGTATGATGAGAACAAGCTGTTAGCTGAAACGGTAACCTGCGATGAAATGGTATCCCATTCAGGATGAATGTTTCACCATTTTCATCCGTTGCCTGAAAGATCCGTAGTTAATCGCCGGTTCCCTAGTACAGTTTCGGTATAGGAGGGATTTGACGTTTTCAATGAAAGAATAATAACAGAAAAGAAGTACATTAATTACAATACGAATTATAAGATCGGACTCAATAAGATACATGGGCTGAGTTTGACATTATAATGTAACTCATTGCTTGGTGTTATGACTAAGAATATAGTACATAATGTGTTTTTTTGACTTAGAAGATAGCACAAGAACTTGAAATAAGTGTATACTTCATTACCTGGTTTCATGATTCTGATTAGTTCAGGAAAGGCATCAGTTCCCATGTGGCCTGGACAAAATACAGCTGACATTATCATAGCATCATAAGTATCTGAAAGTGGACATAAATTAATATTTTCGATATTTTTTAATCAGATAAGATAACAACATTTAAGGTCTTGGTTATTTAAGTGCTAAAATAAATTTCCTCTTAATTTCTATAGTAAATAACCAATGCTACAAATGTTGTTTTTCTTTGTTGTTGTTGTTGTGTTCAAATAATTTTGTGAATTGGCTTTAATTAACAATATGTATGCTTAATACATGTTATAAACCTTCTATAAACCAGAACAAACATTTAAAAACACGAGTTCTAATACAAATTTGTAAGTTAGAATTAAATATACAAGTCTTAGTAGCAGAGAGTGTGTGCTTAAAATATGGATCTGTGAAAGATGGTGCAATGGCTAAAACAATGGAAAGATAAAACTGCCTAAAGATCCCATGCATGTGGCATTTAGTACCTAAAGAAGGATTTATGTTGTTTCAGTTGTCTCGAGATAGATTACAAATAATTGATTTCTGAAAACGGAATATTTCGTGTCTTCTGTCAGGTAACAGATGTGCAGATAATTGTTTTTTATTATGATTCCTTCAGGATGTTCGATAAACAGCTTAGCAAACATTATTCAAATATTTCTATTTAAAGTTCATCAGAATTCTTACCATTTTCGATAGGTAATATGTGCCCTTGCCCCACAATTGAGAGGATATAATTCTGGTAAAGATTCTGTTCTTTTGCACGTTCCAACATTCTTTCAGAGCCATCTATCGCATCAATGTTACAATATCCGGCTGGACGTAGCTAATGAGAAATATTTAAAACAATCTGGATTCTAGTTCAAAAGAATAAATGTATTAATTAAGTTTACTTTTGAATTTTTTATTAGAAGTATTACAATACTAATGTTCTGAAACCATATGTACAACATACAGTTGTGGCTCGTGGATCAGTCGCCAACAAAACAGGGAAATGTAACGTTTCATTTCACAGAGTGATTTATTTGTAATTTTACATGATAGTATCATTAAAATAATCTCATTTGCCATATACATACATACATGGTCGCTAAGTTATTGTATCCCAAATTAAGTTTTGTCCCTTGTAAATGCTTGATTTAAATATTCTTGGCACTGTAAAAATCCTGCTTTTCAAATTAATTCAAGAAATAAACATAATGAAATAGTCTAAGTTGTTATTGCTCATATTGAACAAAATATATTCATTTAGTAATAATTATCCGATCCTCATCGACTTGTGGTAGTTTTAACATAACGTTTTGAAATGTTAATGCGGACTTCATCCACCAATGATAGTTTGTAGACAATGTTTCTAACTAGTAACGCAAACTTCAGACACTCGTGAAAGTTTGGAGAAACACTAGTGCATTATTTTTATTTAGACAACTATAGGTGGATAAAACTTGTTGCAGTGTTCTAAATGGAACATTACTCACAATCTTAAATTTAATCAAGAAAACAAGATTTAATGTTTTTACTGAAAAAAAATGTTATGGTTAGAAAAATGTGAAAGAGCTATTTACTTTAAGAATGATAAACATTTTACAACCTATAATAATATCTGTTGTAAAGAAGCTACTTATATATTTCACACACGATTTTCTCTTTCTTACATCTCTAAGAAACTCACATTATTTGGGAGCATAAAATGATTTAAAAAGTTTTGTCTTGTTTTAAAATATTGTTATTGTATTTTATAACAGTAAGAACAGAAACTTAAAAAAAAGTTTAAACTCACTAATTTTGCTAAGGCTCCAGTTCCAGCTCCAATATCAACAATTCTGGTATTTACATCAACTCCAAGCTTTAAAAATGATTCTATCGTCAATAAAGCTCCTTTGTGGTTCGCATTCCCCATACCCTATTCGAGAAGTGTAAGAAATTTAAATATTGTTTCTAAAATTTAAAACATAATTTAGAACCTTTTTACCAAATAGATAATTCTTAATGTGTGATATTCGAACAAAATATTTATTAATTGATATGTAAAACTACATTTTGCATATAATACTGTAGTAATGTCCTTTATCCATAAACATTATCAAAAACATATAACGACCCCTAGTGGTAGTAATAACATAACGTGAAATATATTAATCATTTATTGAAACTTTGACGTTCATTAGCCATAGAAATCTGTTCTTATTTACAACATAAATTACTACATAACAAATGTGTTAAGACACATTCAGATTAACGTAAAAATACTTATCTTTTTAATATTTTTGAGCCGAAGAGCAACTTATAGTATTTATTTAAATGCATCAATATATTAGGATCCAGGACAATATTAATATCAGTTAAAATGGAAATATATACAGTCAAGAAGGCGTGTCTTAGATCAGAATGAAATACTTCTGCATTTGATTATTATCACATTGCTTAACTTAATAAAAAACACATTTGTTTTACCTTTTCATAAACATCGACAGACTGAGAGTAAGCCTCTACTGTTTTCTTTGCATCTTCTTCCCGAACGAAACTGTTAATAAATTCTACAGCATCATTTATGCTAGAGTCTGCCTCAATCCCATGTTCCGACGTCATCATAAGAAATAATTTTTAATTTACCTAGAAAACAGACTTATTGAATAATTTTAATGTAATTTTATGAAGATAACCATAATATTTTAATTTATGTTTATCGGGTAGTAAATTAGTGGTTGTAAAAGCGTTATATATTTTTCCTTTTTTTCCCCTAAGTTGTGTTACTGCATTATGTTTATATTTGAAATCATCACAGTTACGGCTATAAATTAGCTTACTTTAGCGTAATTATGACTGCTATATGAAATGCTATATTAATGTAGACTTGAAGACAGACTGAAGTTACGGAAATTATAGATAAAAACATAAGTTTCTTACATATTTTTACCGTTCAATACTCGTTTTTTACCTCCTACAATTTAACTTTGTAAAAATAGAGCTCATCCTTATCAATCATTTAATTGCATAATTATACCACACGTGACAAGTAAGTCAAATTATCCCGTTTCTACTGATTTCATACTATCACCACTTACAGTCATTTTAAGTTTTAAAACTGTTAATGCATTTTACTAGTTTAACAAATTTATGTATTTAGAAGATATATAGCCAACTTACATTCATACACGATACTTTCTGTAATTTTTTCCAAATTATTTATATTACATCTAATTTTGATTTCATTTACTACTGTTTCAGGCAAGAATCTAAACATCCACAGGATTAAACGAAACATGACAATTTAAACTCTGTCGTTGCTTCATCAATTTCACTGATTTTTTGTATGTGTGATGTTAGGCTTCAATTGAACATACGCAAGTGTTTCACTTACGGAGATGACTTCATTAAAACTAAGAAAAGCGTATAATGTAACCTGCCTTGAGTAAATTCCTGAGAGAATTTTGATGCAGTACATAATATGTAACAAGAGTTTATAAAAAAAAAACTATAGCTTTTACCTTATAAAGAGCAATTAGTTTGCAATTGTGGGGTTGATTTATACTTTCGAGTTATTAGATCTCCAATGTATATGTACATACAAATGTTCTTTCGTTACGTATTATATATCTTATGTGTTTACAGTACCTACAATTACTCGTTTCGGTTTCTATATACACAACAACAAGAGAGATAATCAAGTGATTGTTTTAATGTACAAAAGAAGCATCTTTAAAATAATCGCATTAAAAATCTGCTCTGAAGAAACACAGGATAAAAATATCTAATCGAAAACACCTTAAGTGTGAAAAAAAATGTGCGGCTGAAAAAAGATTGAGTGTGCGACTTAAAGAAATGAAATAAAAATTGGCGTCCAAACTGGTATCTACACATATAGCATTGATAACAATTTTACAGCAAATGTTCATTCATAAGTTAGCCAGGCACCGTTTTTTTGTCCAACTTGGGGTATTATGGTGAGTAAAACAAAATACATGACCCAGCTAACAAATGAATTAATATATGCTGTAAAATTATTCTCAATGCTATAAGTGTGGATATCAGTTTGGCCGCCAATTTTGATTTTATTTCTTTAAGTCGCAAACTCAATCCTTTTCCGGCCGCTCTTTCTTTTTTCATACCTAAGGTGGTTTTGACTAGATATCATGACTTTTTGTCAATACACACCAACAAACCACTGCATGTAAGAAAGTGACACTCGATAGTAACCCACATTAGCTTTAGGATCGCAACCCTATTATTTTGAACAGATCTTTACTTTACAGAACCAACCAGATTGTTTAAAATATATGGTGATAGTTTTTCCTCTCGAAAACAGTGTTAATAGCTTCCTTTATAGTAACGCCACGGAATTTATATTAACAGTTTCTTGTCATCACCCGCATGCGCTAGGTACAGTCATATCAAGCAACATTATTTATGCTAATTGCTTAAGCTGTTATCACGTGACGCTACACTCTCTTTAATTAGAATAATTTAATAAAATTCAGTAAAGTTTTGTTGAAAATTTTACTGAAAAAAGTTGGCAATGAATAATCAACAATAACTGTCCACACGTATGACTCTTTTGAAAACTTGAGCTAGAAACTGCTAATCTAGTTTGTTTGGCGTAACCAATACTTGTATATCTGCACGTCCTTTCACCTTATAGTTTTGCTGCTCTAAATAAGTCTTCTTTAATCCGAATGACCAAAAAATAAAAACTGTCCACTTTTCTCTGAAGCTGTAGTAAAAATGTTAGACCTGTAGTTCACGTGACTTTTTGCGTAGGCGTAAGCAAAAATTTTCGTCAAATTTGAGCGATTTTTGTTGAGTAACTTTGCACTTGTGGGTGATATCTATAGCAAATGAGACTCATAACTGTAGGTTGAAAAGATTTATTAGTGCAACAAATTCGAAAAAAATCCATAAAAGTTAAGTATGTTTTTCTATCAAATAAAGTTTCCATACCTTTTGTACGAAGAAGAAGAAAAAGGAAGAAACATAATAAAGACTGGAGATGTTATATATCAGGTATTTCTTAATGGATTGCTTTGAAATTTGATATATGAAGTAAGAGTCCAGTAGAGCATATACACTGGAAATATATGATAGTTTGGCTTACCGCAGTCCGAGGTACAGAAGGTGGAAAATCGCTAAACTATTATTCCTGTTAATAACACACAGTGGGTTCTGCAGCTGGTTCTTTTGGCCGCACGACACAGTATCTTGTGCCTTGACTAGATTAAATAAGACCTTTTTACGATATTTAAAAAAAATAATATGTTGTACTAACTTAAAAATTCCAGGGGAAAGGAACATCAGTTTTTGTCTTCTTTGAATGTATGCTATTTAGCATTGTTTTATGAGAAGTAATTTTTTACTTGAACCTACAATGAGTTGATGATGATATCTAAATTGTAAGTTACTAGACTATCACGTTAGTTACTGTATAGGAGTGTCCTACGGAGTTTCAATAATGCACATTCCCAAAACATAGGTGGTTGTAGCTGTAATTGTTTTTCAACACTTATTTTTGTTTTGATCTGGAAAATAAAGTAGTAGTCATAAATAAATCCAACTATGGTTTTAAAACAACGTATATTTTTATGGCGACGTATTCTCAACCAATAAACTTTTTATTTCTAATTAAAGTCACGTTAGACTACAGATTTTTTTCTCACTGTTTTATTTATGGATTTCAAATTAGAATAATTAAAAATTAACATCTCAAATCTATTGTTTTTGTCTTCAAAAATGTCACTCCCAACTAACATGACATATATTTTTTATCACAAATATTACAATCAAAAGTTTATTATTATTTAAAAGAGATTCAGATGCAGAATTATATTAAATATAAAAGGTTAAATTGGCTTTATCAACCTGTTCGAACTAGCAGATCAAAAATGACGTTGATAAAGAAGCTTAAACAGACGGTTTAATCTTTAAAGATGTAAAGTGTATTCATATCATTAAAAGACGTTCTTCCATTGAAAGCATCGAATCATGTCTACATAAGCTAAAGAGAGAAAATTAAAAGTTTTGATAGGATATCAACGTACTAGTATCAGTTTGAGATGAATAATCAACATAAACACTCTCGAAATATAATGTACATTACTCGATATTCTATAAATATTTATACTGTAAAACGTTCCATGCCAGATCATCTTAGTATATTTGTTGCCTGAGTACAAAAGATAAAAAAATAAAATAACCTAATAGATTTTGATCTTAACAGAACCTATCACTACACTAAATTTACACATAGTTTACCACGTTGTATTCCACGTACCTTTACTAACCAGGGTAACAAGATCTAGAAACTGACTTACTGAACTGTGGTCTCTTGTGAAAGAAAGAAACCAGGAAAGAGTGACCGCTTTTAAACACTTCTGTTAACGAGCAAACGTGGACTTTATCGTCCACTCAAGGACAGAATTACGACATTCGTAGTTGTGCTCTCAACAGTGAAGCACGCGAAGCATTCTTAAATAACAGGACTGAAAAATACTGAACTACATTTGTACTATAAACGTGTAAAGATAAATAAACTTCGATGATTGATTAAGCTCAAAAGCGTGAAGCAAAAATATAAAAAGACAAAATCAGGAATATAGAAATGATAATTCAATAGCACATAGCTACGTATTAAGTGGAACTGAAACGATTATTCTAAAGTTCGAACATTCGCGAATAAAAGGGTTAGATTCGGTTTTCGAATGGACAGTTCTGGATTTCGAATCGATTCGAAAACAAAACAAAGATGGCGGCAAACATGATAGCTGAGCCTCCGTCCACACTGTGATCTCGCCGATCTGCAGTGTGGAAGCATTTTGGATTTAAAAAAGAAAAAGAAGGAAAAGCAAAACACATCTATAACTGTATGTCGTCACTGTTTTGCCGAATTTAAATACGTGACAGGATCAACAACAAACATGTGTTCGTACCTGAAGAATTATACCGGGGAATCACCTACTACTTCTAGAAGTTCTGAATCAAACCAAGCTTCATTATCAGAAACCCCAAGTAAGTCTACCACACCAAAAGAGAGATTACTAGGGCAGTTGAGCCTTTTTGATGTCATAAAAAATAAATATGCCAAAACAAGCACGAGATATAAATAAATCAACAAAGCTGTTGTCATATTCATTTCAAAGGATATGAGACCTTATTCAGTTGTTGAAAATGAAGGTTTTCTACATATGGTGTCAGTTTTGGCTCTGGATCTTAATGAAAAACATATGAATCAAATCAAGGTATTTTGTAAAGAGATTAATTGACAGACAAGAGAAGTATTTTATTCACATGAAAAATTAAAGTCATGGTACTGTAACGAATTTATTATTATATATTTATTTTAGTATCAACGTTTGTTTAGATTCAATTTATATTTAAAAACATACAGAGCTTATACTGTTAAATATGTATTGCGAAACGTCGCCTATTCTCCAAAATTGTAGAAGATTCTCGAAAGTAAGAATCCACAATATATGTATGTACGTAAACGCTTAAATGTAGCTCAGTATTGTTACGTAAAACTGAAATTTCTAGAAAGCCTCTACACGCTTATAAATAGAAATACTATGTCCAGGTTTCTGTCATCCTAGCCAGTAGTGACATTTTATAACCATGGTCTGTTGCAGCATGAGCTGCTATTTTATCTCGGTTGATGACTTTATGAAAAGTTGTATCCTCTACAACATTGCTACAAGTGCTAGTGGAGTAGCAGATGTCAACACTTGATGCTAGTGATGGAGACTTCTCTACAGATGGTGGGAATATCGTTGGTGTTGCCTGTGCCGGATTTACTATTATATATATATATTAATATCGATATTTGTTTAAATTGAATTTATATTTAGAAATGTACACAACTTATACTGTTAAATTCGTATTGCGAAACTCACGCCTATTCTCTAAAGTTGTAGAAGATTCTCCAGTGTGAGAATTAACAATATATGTGTGTACATAAACGCTAGTGTAGTGTATCAATATTGTTGCATAAGCTGAAATTTCGAGAAACTCTTTACACGCCTATAAGTATAACCAACGCGACGCGCCAAAAAAAGTAGTATCTATTATTAGTTTGCTATAATTGGTGTGCTATAAACTTCGGAAGCTATAACTGTGATTGTTATAACGCTTATTAATCAGGACACTTCAGATATTTGACCAGGAACACTTATAAATTTCGAACATTACAAACCATTTAACTTCAGTGAATACACATCGGACATTAGTATTTTTACGAAAACATTACCTAACGTCATTGGTGGAAAAAATCGGTGTGTGATAAGTAAAGACCACAGAGCTAGCTAGCTCCCTATTAAGTGAATTATACCTACATCAACTCAAAATTAACTCATTCATTCTGAACCCTCGATAAGATATCAAGGAAGTTCCAGACTAGAAAGAAGACTTTATATTGCTTGTAAGTTTGTAAAACTTTTATATATAAATCACTGTTTGTAATAACTATTTGTAATAACCGTTGTTGTAAATTGTATTATTGTTTGCATATTAAAATATATTTGTATTAAAAAAAGTGTGTGTGTATCGATCTTGTTGGCAAATATCATAAATTGGATATATATCGACATTTGTTTAACTACTAAATCTAAATTACAATTTAACTCAGTTTTAGGCTATTTGAAATTGTAATACGTAACATACCACAGTGGCAGCTGACACTTTTTGAGTTTTCACTAGTGTGGTTGTGGTGGAGAATGCAATGGAAGTGGCTTAATGTAACACAGATATGGGTACCTTCTGTTTAGGCGCATGATTTTATAATGCTGCCATAGATTTGAAAGGTTATTTTCTACAAAGCATCTTTTGACAGGGCACTTCATCTTCTTTTTGCTACAGTCTGACTTGCTGTTTTGGGTTTTTCTTCGTTTATCCACTCCTTGAAGTTTGTAGGGGCCATTTCCAATAGAATCACTGACGACTGTGCAGGCAGAGAGCTAGATGTCGTGGACTCGTCTGAGCACACTGAGTGTTCATCATTGGTGACGAGGTGGCTGGTGGTGTTTGGGGTTGTTCCAGTGTTCAGAGGCCCAGCCCAACAATTACTGCCTTTATAGCCACATTTCAGGTGTATCATCAATTAATGCATCTTCATCCACCGACTCCAATTACATAAAAGTAAGGCCAAACACACAGGCAGTAATCATATTTTATTCTAATCTCTTCCGTCAAACTTCACTACCTATGAACATCTCAGTGTAAAAAAAGCGGAAACATCCGCGTTCCTGCATTAACGAAACCAGCAGTTTCGTTGCTTCTTTGATTAATACCCCCAAGCAAATATTCACAGTTAATTTTCTCAATGCTCTGATCAGTCTCATGTTCTCAAACAAAAATTGCCCTCTTGTCATATTTATAGTGTTTTGATTCATTTTTAACAACATATATGAAAGACATTGTATAAAGTTTAATATATGTGTGCTACATTCTTCGCACATATAACCATAATGAATACTTCCATACACGTAAGTATCCAACTCACATAGTCACGTACACTAGTTGTCATTATCGTAGTAACCAACATGTGCTACTTCCTTAAATTTTCTGCTGGCAGTTATCGTGTAGTAATGTGCTGTCATCTTTGAGCAGTAGAACTCAACATACTTCTCCAGCTTTTCAAAAATAACTCCTGCAGGTTTTGTTGAAATAACAGTCAGCTAAAATTCTGTATCCCAGATTTAAAATTCCGTTCTGCCTCAACCTTGTGCATCAATAAACTTTCAATACAATCTATACTAAATAAGCTGTCAACAGTTGATGTTCAACTGCTGTTCACATCAACCACTGACCGATGGGACACTGCATCACCCTACACAAGTCGATCTACTCGTGCTTTGTTGGCATTACAACAAAGTAGACAGATACGGATACCTTGAATCAAATCAAACTTATTCCATCGGAACTGTCTCCTAATCTACCATCTGTGCTTGTGGAGAACACAACCTCTTCACCTTACATGGAAGAGTGATACACGGTAGAGTCTTCGCTCTTTGGAGAAACCCTGTATTTGATCAGACGAATTGCCGCTTCTCCAATAACAGTGGCAATCTTTGGTCGGAAAATCACTCAGAAATAATAGGGAGAATAAAACCTCTTTCAGTCTTGCCGTCCAGACCGACAGTTGTCCTAACTATTACGAGGGTGACAATCTCATAATGTAATGCACGGCATCTTACATTTCTACTCGGAGGCTCAGGAAGTACGGGTTAAGGAGAGACCTCACAGCAGGTTAGCAGGAACCGGTGTGCTGACAGATTCCATCCCTATTAAAATCCCATCCCTTTGGTAGTAATGCGCATAAGTGTGACGTAAACAAGATAATCGTTCAAATTCTGTCCTTCTAGTCTTATCTTCTCTGTAAATTACGTGTGTTAAGCAAGATATTTTAGGTGATATTAACACGCTCGTACGAATGGGAGAGGGGGGGGGGTCGGGCAAATTCACTACTTTTCTGATGTAAAAAAATTACGCTCGTATAGTCATAGCGCAGCTGCTTATTATATTTAACGTTTTCTACATAGTCTACATTCTTCTGGTGAAGCATTAGCATTTTATTGCTTGAAATAGTCGTATAGCCATGGCTTCTGTTGACATTTGGTAATTGGAAGTCCGGACCCGTATTGCTACTGAGTGCTCTAGCTTTAATAAATAATTATTATGACACTGCTATCAACATTGAAACTGTTTGTGAGCTATTTATGGAAAAGCATCCCAGAAGAATGGAGCATGCTAACATGTTATTTCAGTAGTGGATACGTGTACGCATGTGATAGCCAATGATTGAAATAGTTTATATATTAATATTGTACAGAGTTGTTTATATTAGTAATATAAGTTAACAATTCATAACTACTATGCACGAAGATAGTAGAGTACCTTGCTATAATAAAACATACATATTTATGCTAATGTAAGTCTAGCTCCCCATGCAGCGTTACAAAGGAATGATGATTTGTTGACTTTTCATTGGATGTTTGTGGATTTTGTGCGAAGAGACATACAATTGCTTAAGCTATATTTCATGCAAAATTGCTTCCAGATTTAAGTTCATAGCACCTACTTTTTTTACAGATTTTCTGGGGGTCATGCCCACAGGCCCCCGTAACATTAGGATTGGCTGATTATGCTTCTCGCAGTATGTGTTGGCCCTTGATCTCACAAATTAGAACCATCTTTCAAACATTCTGCGTACGGGCCTGAAATTACAACATTTTTATGTAACTTAGTTGATGTAAGGCCAATAGTTGGTTATACAGTAATAGTATTAGTTCACATGTCAAGGTTTGATTATTATCTAGGTTTACCCTTACACATTGCATCATCAAATTTAAGTTAGATTAAGTCAAATTAATAGT